ATAATCTTGTTTAAATTAAAATCCATGCTCTTGGATTTTTTATATTGTTCTTCACTGTTCTTAAAGAGATTCAATAAAAAAAAATACCCTCATTTGATTTTTATTTTTTTATTTATATTTTTAGACTGTATTTTTAGGTTTCGGTTTTGAGTCATGAAGCTCTCAGCCGATGTGGTGGACTAACTCTATTAGCTTAAGATCAGGTTTGGCAAGTTCAATTTTTATTAAAGAAAAAAAACACAATATTTTGTTCTTAAAGTATGTTTGGTGAACAAAATCTTAAGATATTTTTAAGTTTAAGATTTTTAGTTAAGAGTGTGTTTGACAAACACGCTCTACTGATTTTCCAGCAATGTTAATTTTTATTTTTTTATAGTGAACAGATCTCAAATGATTTTTTTAAAATTCTAAAAAAATTCAAAGACTCTTAAATTTATTTGTGAGTCCCTCATGTGTTTTCCTACCTTTTCATTTAATATTTGACCTGTAAATTTACATTATAAAATACTGACTTAGTATTAAAAATATCTACTTTTCTTTAAAATTTAAAAAAAATACAAAAACAATTCCTTATTCAAAAAATATGTTTTATTTATGTGCACACGACTAAATTCTAAAAAAAATTGATGCATATTTTATAAAAATAAAATTTTTATTTTCATCATATTTTGAAAAATACAAAAATCAATCAAAGAATATTATAACCAGTTTATGATTATTTATTAGGATTTGATTAAAATTTTTAAAACACCACAGAAGTTAATTTGTTTAATTAATATTTAGGATATGAATTTTATGATGTAATCCATATTCACAATATTAAATTAAATGAATTAATAAAGATAAATGTTAGAAGCTAAATGTAAAATTTAATATTTGAGGGTATAAATTACATTGTAAAATATATACTTAAGTATTAATGATACAAAGTATGAATAAATACAACATTGAAATTTGAGGTTTCAAATAATTATGTTTTAATTTGATAAGGCATAGACCTCTTTACTTAGGAGGATGTGTTCCAAGTATTAGAGATACTAGTGAATAAAAATATTATTCAAAAAAATAATCAATTATCAATATAGTTTATCACATGTAGAGTGCATTTGGGTGATGTGTATTTTTAATGTATAATTAGTCCCTTTACCCAAATACTTGTGAGCCAATAAGTTTTCTAATAACCAAAATAGTAGGTAGCGACCCTTCAAAATTATAATTTTACAATCTTTAATACATCTTAAAACCCCATCAATTTAAGAGATAGATTTACTATTTACCATCTTGCGTGCCACAACAATCTCCATCATTATAGATAGAGAAATAATTCTAGATGTCTATTGTTCATGTTCTTTAACAATAACTTTTGTCTTTACTATGAAATTTCTTATATTGACTAGAACCAATGTGTTAAATGTAATAAAAAGATTCAACCTAAATGTTTTTTCCTTATAATTTACAACATCAACACAAACCTAAGAATTCGCTTGGAAAATAAAAACTCAATAGAAACAACTCCTATAATCATATCTATAATGCAAATCATCCAAAATTTCTCAGATAACACAAGTATTATCAATTTTTAATCATTTATTAAATATTATTTTTACTCCACAATACATTACAATACAATATAATAATAAAACACAATAATATCATACCATAAAAATCCTTATTCTATGCATACACAAATGTATATATTGAGCATGAAGTTGTATTACAGATATTGAAATCATGATAGTAATTAGCATTAGTCATCAATCAATCAATAAAACAAAATAGAAAGCAAATGATCAATGGTAGGAATATGTTGAAATACAACATTCCAATACTAAATTAAAGATCAAATTTACAAAATAGAGTTTTAGGTTACTATTAAAAAAAATAAAAGATGAAGGAACAAAATTAACATAACACAAAATTTTCAGAAAGGTACACAAAACATCCATTTGGTCCCTTAATTTATTTTTCTTAATTTGATCCTACTCTTTTGGGTTATTATGGTTTGGTATAAAACTTTGTTTTATACCAAAATTAAAAATAATAAAAGATGAAGGACCAAAATTAACATAACACAAACTTTTCATAAAGGTACACAAAACTTTCATTTGGTCCCTTAATTTATTTTTCTTAATTTGATCCTACTCTTTTGGGTTATTACAGTTTGGTATAAACTTTGTTTTATTTATTTTCTTTAGTTCTGTAGAATTTTCTATTATTGATCGATTAATGTTTTTTCAGGTGTATCTCCAAATAGCCAAATATCTCTAACTTCCATGTCATTGAAAATGTTGAGTGTCGACAAATTCTATAAGGTTGCAAGTGATCAATGAGTCTTGGTGGTTTCATTGACGTTGAATTTTTTTTATCCCTCTGTTTTTTTTTTCTCATTTCCTCGATAATCAGTTTGAACCAACTAAAATTAAAAATTATCCTCAAATTATGTTTTTATTTCAATAATAGTCCTCATTCTTTTGATTGTTTTTTATTTTTTTAATATTTTTTATTTTCTTTTTTATTTTCATCCATTACCATTTGATACTATTTAATTTTTATATCAAATTTTATACTTATTCTTTTCATTGTTATTTCTTTTCTTTAAATCCTTTTCTAATTTTTTTTTCAATCTCAACGCTCATCATTTTATTTTTATGTCAAATTTGATCCTTGTTTTTTTTTAATTATTTTTTCCCATGGTTTGTTTTTTGAAATTTTTTTTTTTTTTCAATTTCATGCTTCTGCATTAAATTTATTAAGAATTTAGCTTCTTAGTTTTTTTCAGTGCGGTGATCCAAGTTTTATAACATATGTCACGAGTATAAAATGTTAATATAGATTGACATTAAATTATTTTTAAAATATTTTTTACACTATTTGTTTTTTAATATTATCCTTTAACATTGAGTTTATCGAAAACTAAACTTCTTTATTATTTTTTATTTTTTTATGAGTAAAACCAAACCTCATGATCCGGTCATGAATTTTCCATGCCAAGTCAAGTTGGTTTGGGGCTTTTATATCATTGCATTTTATTTTGCTCTTACATCAAATTTGGTCCTCATTCTTTTAATCTTCTTTTTTTGCCCTTTAGATCCTTTTTTAAATTTATTTTAATTTTACCTTTTAACATTGAATTGTTTAAGAATTGAGTTTCGTAATTTTTTTCAATGTTGTGATCCCGAGTCACAAGTATGAAACGTTAAGCTGGATTGCTATTAATTTTTTTGTTTTAGACTGATTTTTTTTTAATTTCAACCGTCAATATTAGATTTATAAAATATTGAGCTTTTTTATTTTTTTTATTTGCTTTTTATGATGATGGCTTGACCTCATAACTCAAATTATGAGTTTATAATGCTGATTGAGATTAGTTTAGAGCTTTTTTTTATATTATTTTTTATTGTTTTTATCTTGTTCTTTAACATTTAGTTATCTTGAAATTCATATTCATAATTTATTTATTTATTGGCAATATTTTTTAAAAGTCATGGCCATATTCATATTATGACTTTTTTCTTTAAATTTAATACATTTATTGTCATTATTTTTTTATTATATAATTAAATCAAACCATTTTATTATACGCAGCAAAGTCTAGGCCTGTTCATGGTTCAGTTCGATTCGATTTAAATCATAAAAACTAACCAAATCAAGTAATTTAAATTTTTAAAAATTCAAATCAAACCAAATTCTAGTTCAAATTGAACCAGTTTGATTAGGTTAAATTTGGTTTTTTTGCTCTAAAACCGGAACCTAATCATCAAATTAATAGATTTTATTAATAGGTTTTTTTGAACAGGCAAAGCACTGTTATATTTAGCTGCGAGGCCATCCTTTTCAACATGGATTTCCTTAGCATTTAGTGGCTTGGATTTTGTTTTCATGCTTGCCTCGCCCAGAAGGCTCTTCAAAGGAGTATATTGTGGGCTCCTCAGAGACGGGTGTTGTTAGCCAGTGCTCCAGTTTGTGACCTTGGCAATAATCTCTTCATTCTTCTTCTCCCCTGTGACTCATTCAAAACATCAGTAATGGAAGGAAACCAACTAGCTTGTACAGAAGCAGCTTTTGGCTGTTGTGGGTTTCGTTTTGTCTGGATTTTTGTTCAGAAGTGAAGAGAGAAGCCAAGGAGGTGGAGATGCGGGTTTTTCTTCGGCTAGAGAAGAGACAGATGCAGGAGGCAAAGTGGATGATAATTGAAAGGGAAATGAAGGAATGGAAAAGCTAGGGAGAGTGAGAGATGGGCTCGTGTTTGGCTAGAATTTACGTGAGACAAACACAGACGTCAGGGTAGTTGAAAATTGAAAGGGAAACTAGGACTAGGAGAGTTAGATTGGAAATTAATTGAGAGAATGATTGGGAATTTATCGGGGCAACGCATCGGCGGCTTTTTGTAAGGGGCAGAGAAGTTATGTTAATTGTTTGGGTTAGGATAGAATTTAACTACTAATACCTCAAGGTTTTTTCAACTTTTGGCTTTTTGCCGGCTCAGTTTGTGTTGGTTTCTGATTCAAAACCAAAACCAAATCGAACCTGTTAAAATTTATAGTTTTAAAAATCAATTTAATCAAATTTTCATTTAATTTCCGTTTTCTCAGTTAATTTTTCATTTGTTTTTTATTCTCAATTAATCAGTTTTTTTTAACACTGGGGACCACCATGGACAAACAACTGTACATCTATAAGTGTGATGGTTATTTGGGTCACTCACTGCGTATGAACCATAACCACATAGTTTGGGTTTTAATGGAATATACTAGTCCATTTGACATTACTCAGGAACCATGAACAAGAATATCATAACAGTCCTCAGCTTTGGTTTCTATCTCTTAACTACTTTTTATAAAAACAAATTTAATACGCGAAAATAGTTACATGGTGTCAAATTCTGGCTAATCAAACAAATGGCCAAAATGAAGTAGCAAATGTATAGGTGAACGAAGGGGAACAGCAATAAAATCATACTCTTCCAACAATGTAGTCAAGGTATCCATCTAGCAAGAGAAAATAATAACCAAACAGTAATATTCCATGCATCCAAGTAAGAAAAAATGTTACAAATTGCACACAATAATCAAGACTTAAGTTCAAAAATCGGCATCCAGAATTATAGAACACAATAATAAAAAATATAGAATAAATGTTCAGGGGTGGGGAGAGGTTAAAGGGATAAGAGCTCCAAAGCATTGGATTATCATGGAATCAAAGCAGGATCTAGTTTTACAAGTAAAAGCTTTAAGATCACAAGTTCTAGGCATCAACAGTTGTCACCTGTTGCCATTCCCCATCTACAGCTTCTTTCCACAACGTGACATTGTTGTTCCCATCAGCAACAGCCAGTATGTTTCCAGTTAAGGACCAGGAGACCCTCCAGACAGGAGCCTTGAAGTCATGTAAAACCTTACCTTCCCATTGATCACCTTCCTTTGCCACAGTCCATATAATAACCTTCCCATCCTGTGAGGCACTAGCAATGGTAGACTTGGGAAGGCCCAAGTTGGGTGCCCAAGCAACATCCCTCACCCAATCAGTATGCATGTTGAGAGCTGGAAAACAGTCCAGCTTCCAGTTCCCGTTGTAAAGTTTCCACACTTTGACAGTATTATCACAGCCACCTGAACAAAGCTTCTGCACAGGGTCAAGCAAACCAGAACCAACAAGGGCACCAGGTGCAGTGGATGGAGCCCATGAAACAGAGGTTACACCAACCGGGTGAGCTTGATCAATCCTTGATGTGTCCCAGTTGCCATCAGCACGAGCAGTAAAAACAGATATATTCCCATCAGATGAACCACATGCCAAAGAAAGCCCCAGTTCATGAGGTGCCCAAGCAATGGAATTGACAGATGATTTGTGATCCTCAAAAACATGAGCCTGGGTCCAGTCATTCTGATTACCCTCCTTCCATATTATGACTCGGCCATCATAAGAGCAAGAAGCAAGTAAAGAACCAAATTTCGGGTGAGCCCATGCTACTTGCCAAACTGGGCCTTGGTGCCCAGTCAGATTTGCAAGATGTTGAGAAGTATTGTTGTTAACCCCAATTATTTTGATTGAATGATCCGATGAGGCAGTTGCAATCCGCTTTCCATAGTAATCCATTACCACATCATGGACAGTGTCCTCATGACCAGTTTCAATTTTTTGAGAAGGCATTTTGTAATCAAAACCGTTCTTTTCTCCTACCAAGAAAAATAAATAAAGTCAAGAAAAATTTTGTTGTTCGTTGTCCAAAAAAGCCAATCCAAATAATGTCATAAAAAGAAAAGAATGAATAAAATCACCATCCACATGGGAAGGATATATGTATATGTGTGTGTAATCAAAGAAGAAAAAATTCAGATATTGCAAATTCACTAATGTAACTAAGCAAAACAGATCAGATTAATAATAAACACAAAAATCTGATCGGAAGTTTCAAAATTCAAAACTACCAAAATCACATCTCAAAAATCCTAATCTTAGACATAGATTTGCAGATTTCACAAAAAAAAAAAAAAAAACCAGATAAATCCACCAATGAAAAGAAATCAGTTGAGCTTAATAATTCTCAATAATCAATAAAGAAAAACGAATGAATAAATAAAATGATTGATTAGATCTAAACCAACAATTACTAGCTGCATAACATATAAACAAATCCAATTGTGTTCAAGACTCAGACCTGCAGATGATCAATCTCAAAACGATGCCGTTATTGGGATCATAAGAGCTCTGTTTGTCACTTCACTTGAATGCCAAGAGAAAAGGAATATGTTTCGGCTTTCACGATCGGGTGTCTCTGTATCTGTATAGAAGAAAACGAGGAGACTGTTTGATTTATACATGGGAAGTAAAGAAACCCCATTTTTGTCCAAATAAATTCATTTTATAGGACTCATTTGGTGAAGTAATTGAAACACATAGACAAAAACAGGGTTTCTTCACTTTCCATTTATAAATCAGACAATCTCTTGTTTTCTCCTATACAAATACAAAGATGCCCGATCGTGAAAGCCAAAACATTTCCTTTTCTCTTGGCATTCAAGTCGAGTGACAGGTAGAGCTCTTTTGATCCCAATAACAGCATCGTTTTGAGATCAATCATCCGCAGGTTTGAATCTTGAGAACACTACTGGATTTGTTTGTACGTTATGCAGCTAGTAATTGTTGGTTCAGATCTAATCAATCCTTTTATTTATTCATCAATGTTTCATTCGTTTTTCTTTATTGATTATCGAAAATTATTAAGCTCAACTGATTCCGTTTCATTGGTGTATCTATCATGTTTTTTATGAAATCCGCAAATCTATTTCTAAGATTAAGGTTTCTGAGATGTGATTTTGGTAGTTTTGAATTTTGAAACTTTCGATCAGATTTTTGTGTTTATTATTAATTTGATCTAAATCTGATCTGTTTTGCTTAGTTGCATTAGTGAATTAGCAGTATCTGATTTTTTTCTTCTTTGATTACACACACATATACATATATCCTTCCCCTGTGGATGATGATTTTATTCATTCTTTTCTTTTTATGAAATCATTTGGATTGCATTTTTAATTAGCAGTATCTGAATTATTTCCAATTGCAAAAGCAAGAAAAAAGCCCACTATTCTGCCCAATTTCCCACTATTCATTTCACCCACTTAATGCAAAAGCAAGAAAAAAGCCTTCTGGTGAATCAAGCAGAAGTTGAGCATCATGGTAGGTTCATATAATTACACTGTAATGGAACAATGTTTTATAGCAGATCATACATGAAAATCGAATATTTCCATGGGAAAGGTTTTGCAAAAACACACAATAATTTAAACTGAACAGAGCAATCAATGTCTAAAAATTCAATAAATCATGAAGCTAACAAAATCAACAGTAAACTTGAACCTATTATAAAGCTAACATAACACCCGAAAACCATGATTTCACATTGCAGTGAACTTTGTAACCTATCCATTGTCCCACTACATCAGCCATACTGCCAGAATTGATAGGTGCGCAATCTTCTACCAACTCAAGTCTATCCATAAAACAGCAACAAAATGCTAAAAGCATATAGATGAATTATAAGCTAACAGATCTTCGTCTATGAATCTCCAAGGCAAATAAAAGGCACTAGCAATCAAGATAAAACAGATTGATAGGTGATAATACAGATCAAAACCACATATTAAAGTTAACAATGCTAAACAAAGCAATCAAGAACTCAAAATCAACACAAATCAACAGAACATCAGTAGTACTAATGAAATCTAATAAGACAGAAGGCATGACTGAAACAAGAGAAAGGAGAGAGGGCGGGGGAGAGGGGGACGAACCTGAAGAAAGATACAAAAAAGCCCTAGCTGCAAGAGGATAGAAAAAGGAGAAGCAGAGGTGAGAGCGAGGAAGTAGTAATAGGAAGGCCAAACAACCATGAAAGTTTGAAACAAATGTTACAGGCACACGAAGGCCAGAATTAACATAGGGATAAACTTTACCTTGCCGTCTTTTCTCTAATGGAAGAGCCCTCTCCTTCTGCCGCAAGTATAGAGGAGGAGGATCGCAAGATTCGCAACGGCTTGCGCAGAAATGAAGGATGGAGATGTGGGTTTTTGATCGGCTAGAGAAGAGATAGATGCAGGGGCAGAGGGGATGAAAATTGAAAGGGAAAGGAAGCAGGCGAAATACTCTCCGGTAAGGGCGGCGGGTTCGTGTAATGTTACTAGGGTTAGGTTAACTGTAGATTTATGAGTCTTTTATTTTATGGTTGATTTGGTTCGGTCGGTTTCAATTGTAAAATCAAAATCAAACTAGACCAGCAAGATTTTATGATTTTAAAAATCAATTTAATTAATTTCTCATCTTAATTTAATTTTTCACTGGTTTTTTTATTTTGTTAGCTAATCGATTTAATTAAACATCCATACCAAGATATAATACCGAGTAGTGAGATTTATTTTAGCTTTTAAACTAACAGTGCTTGAATATTACTTTTTTAAATTAAAAAAAAATATATCAATCTCGTGGAAAAACATGAGCCACCTATCCGGTGAATAACTATTTTTCAGGTAAATTTCATGGGATGCAGCCACCGAGGTAAAGCAAGGGTACAAGGCCCTATTTTTAGAGTAATGAAGGGACCTTCAGTATTTCCAGGAATTTGCTTTAGCTAGAGGAAAAAGAAAAGGATGTTATGGCATTAGAGTATAATTAGCTACAAATCCATTTATTTTTAAAAAAATAAATAAAAATATTAAAAGTTCTAAATGGCTAAACCGATGATATGTTCTTTGCCCAACTAATTTTTTATATCTAAGGGATGACAAACAACTTATAATTTACATCTTTAATTTCTCTCAATCCAGCTCATTGAAAAATTAAAGTCGGTATTTTTTAATTTTAATTCTTTTTTAATTTTTTTTTAATATAAAAAAACCTACAAAACAACTTAGAAACTCATAAAAACCTCTTAAAGCCTTAAAACAACCAAAATATTGGTCTAAAATATTTTAACTAGAAACTCAAAAAATTTTCCAAGTCAAATATATTTTTTTAAACAATTTCAAAAATAAAAAATAACATATAAGATAAATTATTATCGTTCAATGAAACTTGTATACACCAACATCAACCTTTTTTATATGGCGAGAATCAAAATTTCACCATTATTTATTTCTTCTTTTTTAATTAGGGACTGGTAAATAAGGGAAATAAAATTTTGTATAAAAATTGAATTTTTAAACTTTTTAGGGACTGAAAAGATATCATTAGAAAACTAAAAGGATGTAAATGAAATTCTTTGCATAAACCGTGAAACCACCACCTATTAATTTTACTCACTTTCTTTTTTATTTCATTCCTCTGTCTTTTAATTTTGGCCTCCCTTGACAATATAACCTAAAGTTGGTCCTAATTGTTATCTTAAAAGGGTGAAATTAAAAAAGAAAAAGAAAAAAGACACATTGAGTGCACACAACAAGTCCACAGTGCATCTGCTACAAAGAAAAGGAGAGTTTGTTAATGATCGTATGGAAAAGAATCTGCACTCGCTGGCTGGCTGCCTGCCTATCCTCATGGAGATAGTCGCATCATTTTACGGACTCCACTAAAAGATGCAATGTTGGAAGAGAAAAGCTATGAATAAAAAGATCACATTTCAACTATTGAGACAGATTTTCAAGATGATTGGCTTAGTTCACGCGGAAAATATATGCCCTCCCCATTACACTACGCGACTCACTGCCACGACACAAAGATCCTTTTGAATACATAGCTCAAAAGGTGAATAAGTATTGGATTCCAGATCTCTCTCCCTTGGTCTGCTGCTATTTGCGTGATCAACAGGGTGAGTCCTCCTAAAGAATACCCTTTCCCTTGAATGAATAAAATCTTATCAGCTTCTCTGCATTAATAATTGATTGTGCGGTTTTTTAATTCAACCAAAGATATAGTTAGGCATCTCGATCGCCAAGTTTGTCAGCAATTATGACATCGCATGAATGATTGTTATTCTTCTTACTTGTTTCCATTTCACATCAGAATAACTGCCAAAGTGGTGCTCAGATCAGCAGCAACACCACCGATATTTGTACTAGGATTAGTACATCATCCCTCACTCAAATCCATCACTTCTCCTGATCAAGTGAATAGGCTGGCCAGCTTATTTTCCAACTCTCAGAGCTCATCTCCAGACTCCTGATAAACCCGTGCTGTGACATTAATTTAAGCAGGCACGCTAATATATATGGTCTCACAGCACAATCAAAGTCATCTTCAACTTTTATTGCAACAACTGCTATGCTTCTCCCCACAGAAGAAGCTGCTTGACTTTCTTTCACGACAAACCGCATGAGTCTCTTTTTTTATATAAAAATAAAAGTAAAAATAAGACATTGCATGATTATAAACTAACCAGGAATATAGCATGTTGTTAAAAGATCCCATCATGACAAACCCAGCAATAATTATATGAAAGCATATTTTACAGGCATCCGTGTTTCTTTAGAGGATGCCACACAAATATTGATGAGCCATTAAATGGATATGCATCCTAAACAACGCACAGGCTTTGGCCATATTAGGATATAAGCTCCGGTTCAACCCTGACCCCTTTCCCTTGAGGAAGAAGGTAAGCATACAACAAACAGACGAGGGAATCTGTACTTCAGAATACACTGATCACTAACACAAACAAGAAAAGGATAATATGAAAGATCCTGTACTATGTTCTATTATCTTATTTGGCAGTCTGTTCTAGCCAAACATTAAATGATAACAAGAAAACACTGAAAAACACAGGTTAAGATAGCGACATCACTGCTCGTGGCGGAGGAGGTGGTATGTATGGAATGAGTTTTGACGTCTCAAGTGCATCATTGCGGTTTTTCTCATGTACCTTTCTGATAAATTCAGAAGCCCAATCATCAATAACACTATTATTATGCTCGTGCATCACATGCGGAGAACCATTCCCCTCATCTGGCTGCATCACAAATGATGTTAGGTTTGAGCTTCCCTGTGGCTCTTGGGACCTTCGACTTCCTGGAATTTGAGACAGCAATGGTTCTTTAGCAACCACAACTGAGCCTGTCACATGGGCAAGGCTTTTGGTGACAACTGGAGGACTAGGTGTTCCCAGACTCATCTTGGCAATAGAAAAGGAAGACAGTTTTATGATGTTTACCACCATCTTCATTGACTTCTCACAGAGGGAGTTGTTGTTCCTATGTTTGCTACCCATGACTTCTCTCTCAACTTACTACTCTAGCCCCTCTCGGTGGACAAATAAGACAATACCTGGATTAACAAAGTGAATCAATACATAAGCTCGTGAAGCTTGCTTTGGAAACAATGAGGGATAAATAATCTAATAATTATTATTTGGGTTCCTCGTGGCTAGGACTCTTAGTTATTGCCATATAAATACTAGCTTGCTTTGGAGAAAAGAGATTCCTTTCTCATTCCATCGGATGGCAGGTGGAAGTCTTTTTGTGAAGGTTGATTTAATGGGGAAGGGAGAATATCAAGAACATGCCCTCCCTACTTGTCAACGTAAGCTTATCTACGTATGGTATGTGCTACACATCACTACTATTTATGAAAAAATTTATCAGCATTTACACTAATATATACTCCACGGATTTATAAATAGTAATAATCCATCAGCAATTTATAATTTTTTGGTGAATTCATCAATAATAAATATATATTGATGAATTTAAAGATAGATAAAATATGTTAAAAAAAATTATCTGTTTTATTTTGTCGGTATCTCTATTGGTAAATTTAATATATTGACACGATCAAAAGATTGATGTCTTTTTCTAAATGCAGGAGTGTCGAAGTAATAAATAGCCCGGCAAGACCGGGATCAAACCATAAGGAGGTTAATTGTATAAATTATAGATGACAATAATATAACAATAATAGCAATAACAACAACAACAACAACAACAATAGTAATAATACTAATATTAATAGTAATAAGAATACTAATAATAATAACAATAATATTAATAGTAATAGTAATAGTAGCAACAACAGTAGTAGTAGTAGTAATAATAATAATAATAGAATAAGAAGAAAAAGAAGAAGAAGTTGATGATAACTCTGAGATGGAAGATTAATGCAAAAATTAAACAATGATAACAACAAATGTCAAGATTAGAGGATCCATTACTGGTATGTCAAACAAGTATAGTATAAACTCTTATTATTCAATTGAAAACCACACACAAAGGAGGTTCCAATCATATTATAAATTGTTAACATGATTACATTAGTTATATTATTCGATTAATGCTAATACTTGTAAATCTCGTCAAGCATTCATGATTATAACTTATGTTAACAACAATTCAAATTCCTTTCATATCTTAGATGTCGGTTATACCATACAATATGGGCTATAAAAGTGTCAAGTATTTGATGTGCCAAGTGTTATACAACATAAATTTAGATTAGTCATTTAACAAGCAAAGTATTAAAGAGTGAACAAGATAACAAATACAAAACATGTTAGTATCAAACATTAAAGTCCATATTAAGTTTACACTATACTTATTCTTACACCATTAGTGTAACCTTTTCATCTTGACATAATAAACTTAGCTAAATATAATGAAAAAAATAAAAATAAATAAACAAAATAAGAACATAAATAAGATAAAATTTAACTAAATAAAGGAAAGGAAATGAAAGGCATAAACTTGATATTAATGAAAGCAAAACATAAATGTTACAAAAAATATAAAGAGAGAAAGCAAGAGCATGATCTTAATCTGGAAACCAAGATGCCTAAATGTATGGCAAATGCCTCCTTTTATAGGCCAAAATTGTGAACTATTAATTTGATGACTAATTGATGAGTGGGTGGCCAATTCTTGACTTAGTGACAATCTTTATCTTCTCTTATTTGCCCAAAACGTCATTGATCATGTAAAAATTAAAACCACTTGAAAACATGAAAGTTGTAGGAAATTATTTCAGCTTTCTAGGGTAAACAATTAAGGTCATTTAGACTTCTAGAACTCTAGATATGGACCAAACACTGAACAGTGCTCGGGATGGAGGACAAATTCAGACTTTTTTATTATTGCTACAATTTGGACTTGAAAATGACCTTTTTAAATATTGGGCTCCATATGAAAGTTGTAGGCCTTTGTCTTACCTTTCCATCCATATAAAGTAAACCTAAATCCGAGATCTACAGCTCTAGATATGATCCAATTACTGAA